CCTCACCCTCCCTGTTCTTGGCTGCATGGCCTGGGGTGCCCTTCACAGCCCAGCAAGGGCCAGCCCAGGGATCGGCAACTGCGGCCCGGGGGCCAGATCAGGCCCGACGCCTGGCTCCGTATGGGATGTGAGGTAAGAGTGGCTCTTACCCTTTTTTAAAAAAATTTCTTTTTCAAAAAAAGAGAGACGGGGTCTCACTATGTTGCCCAGGCTGATCTCAAACTCCTGGGCTCAAGGGATCCTCCCACCTCAGTCTCCCAAAGTGCTGGGGTTACAGGCGTGAGCCACCGTGCCCAGCTGGTTCCTTTCAGAATAGCAGAAAGAAAAACGAAATGAAAAATATTTTGTGGCACATGAAAATGATATGAAATTCACACTTCGGCTTCCATTAATAACATGTCATTGGAACACAGCCTTGCCGGCTCCTTGATGCCTTCTCTATGGCTGCTTTTGCTCTAAGGACAGAGCGGCGTGGTGGCCACCGACAGCGTGGTGCACGCACCCTGACGTGCGCTAACCGGCCCTTCACAGCTCTGCAGCCCCCGGCCTGGCGTGCTCGGCCTCCGCAGAGGGTCTTCCGCCAGGTCCTCCTCACGGCCCGCCCTGACTTTCTCTGCGGTCCCTCGGCTTTGAAGCCGGGTCCCACCTCCACACCTCTGTGCATGCTTTATCCACAGCTCCAGCACCCTCCTGTGTTCACCGTTGATAAATTCCTGGTCCTTCTGGGCCTGGGGGCTTTTCTGACCCTCGGGGTGGGTTGGCCGTCCCCTGTGTGTGCCCACTGCCTCGGGTTTATCCTGCCATGGCCTGCGTGACCCCCTGCTTCCTCATGGGTCGGCCCCAACCTCTAAGTTCCTTGAAGTTCGAACTCTGCCTGTACATTTTTTTTTTTTTTTGAGACAGAGTCTCACTCTTGTCACCCAGACTGGAGCGCAGTGGCACCATCTTGGCTCACTACAACCTCCGCCTCCCGGGTTTAAGCGATTCTCCTGCCTCAGCCTCCTGAGTAGCTGGGATTACAGTCTAATTTTTGTGTTTTTTTGGTAGAGACAGGATTTTGCCATGTTTGCCAGACTGGTCTCGAACTCCTGACCTCAAGTGATCCACCTGCCTCAGCCTCCTAAAGTGCTGGGATGATGGGTATGAGCCACTGCATCTGGCTAATACCTGCATCATCTTTAATACCTCAGGGCTGGGCAAGGGCCTGGCACTAAAGGCCCACTGGAGGCTTATACTAGTGAAGGCAGGAATGGAGGGACTAGAGGCTTATACTAGTGAAGGCAGGAGTGGAGGGACCCCTGTGTGTTCAACCTCACACAAGCAACTCCAGCCTGGAGGGTTCAAAGAAAGGCAGAAACGTCTGCCGATGCCAGCGGAGCCTGGTGGATGGAGAAGGGTAACCCTGGCCCCGGTCCCCTGACGGTGCTTCCTGAAGCCTCTGAGGGTGCTGGAGGCGGCTCCCTCAGGAGAACCAGGAGACAGAGCTCTGCTACTTTCCTCACCCTGGGGAAGCTGGGAGCCCGGTGGGGAGGCCACTCAGTCCCCTCCCCTGCCTCAGCAGCTGCCCGGTGCCTGCCTCTCAGGGCAGATCTCAGTTCCAGGCCTCCCCATCCCCAGCCAGACTGAGGCTTCTCCATTCCTTGACCTCCCAAGACCACCTGGCCTCTTCCGTCCAGCTGCTGCGCACCCAAACTCTCTCTGCGGGGCCTCAGCCCAGCTGGACATACCCAGCTTGAGCCCTGTGTCCCCCTGGGTCCCCTTAGGACTCTGCCGGGCTCCTCTCCTAAGCAGGCCCAGCCACACCCTTTTACTCACAACTGTGCCCTGCCTAGCACCAAGCGAGTCCCTCTGGCTACATCCAACCCTTTCTGGAGATGAGAGTCCTGTGAGGTCAGCAGGGATGTCGAGCAGGGAGGACACACACGCCCCACCGGCCACCTTCACCACCTCCCACGCCCAGAGCAGGCATGGCTAATCGATCTCAGCGTTTGCCCTGAGCTCCAATGCCCCCTCAGAGTCCTTTTCAACAGTGCCCAGGCAGCCGTTCCCAGTGCATCAGGCCAGGCCTGCGAGATCTCGCCATCTGCCCCTCAGGCAGAGCTTCGTGTGTGAGGCCTCGAGGCACTGTGCTGCCTGTGTCAGTGTGTGTGGTGTGAAAATTAGACAATATAAACCAGCAGGGGCCGGGCACAGCGGCTCACACCTGTAACCCCAGCACTTTGGGAGGCCGAGGCAGGCAGATCACCTGAGGTCAGGAGTTCGGGACCAGCCTGGCCAACAGAGTGAAACTTCGTCTCTACTAAAAACACAAAAATTAGCCAGGTGTGGTGGCAGGACACTGTCATCCCAGCTATTGGGAGGCTGAGGTAGGAGAATCACTTGAACCCAGCAGGTGGAAGTCAAAGGGAGCCGAGATCACACCACTGCACTCCAGCCTGGGCGACAGAGCGAGACCCCGTCTCAAAACCACCACCAGCAGCAGCAGGGACATCTTTCGCTGTTTTTTCAGGGCTGGGATATTGTGCTTTGGGTTGTTTCATATGAAGACCATTGGGTATTGCTCAGTATTGATTTAAAACAGACAATGTTCGCAGACTGTAAATTCTAAATGTACCACCAGAGGCCTGGCACAGGGGCTCACGCCTGTAATCCCGGCACTTTGGGAGGCTGAGGCAGGAGGATCACCGGAGGTCAGGAGTTCGAGACTTGCCTGGCCAACCCGGCGAACCCCTGTCTCTACTAAAAATACAAAAATTAACCAGGCGTGGTGGTGCACATCTGTAATCCCAGCACTTTGGGAGACTGAGGCAGGTGGATCATTCGAGGTCAGGAGTTTGAGACACCTGGCCAATATGGTGAAACCCCGTCTCTACCAAAAATACAAAAATTAGCCGGGCGTGGTGGCACAGGCCTGTAGTCCCAGCTACTCGGGAGGCTGAGGCACGAGAAGTGCTTAAACCCGGGAGGTAGAGGTTGCAGTGAGTCAAGATTGTGCCACTGAACTCCAGCCTGGGTGACAGAGCAAGACTTGGTCTCAAAAAAAATAATAAAAATAAAATAAAAGTATCACCAGAATGTGGCTTTACTGCCAGGGGTGTATCCCAGACTGTACTCCTGTGGTCACTGTGAGTCCCTGAGCGGCACCAGTGAGCTGGTAGCGCACCCAGTAATGCCGTGATCACGGCCATGCACGGGGATGCACATGCTTTCACGAACACACAGCACACACACGCAGACACACAGTCACACACAGATATGTACTGACACACGCTCTTACGCACAAGTCACACACACGCACACAGCCACACGGTTGTTTATGCCAGTGATCAAAACTCAGGAACACTACAGTACGGCTGGTGTTGCCTTTTCCTTCTTCTTTTTTTTTTTTTTTTGAGACAGAATCTTCCTCTTGTCACCCAGGCTGGAGTGCAATGGTGTGATCTTGTCTCACTGCAACCTCCGCCTCTCAGGTTCAAGCAATTCTCCCGCCTCAGCCTCCTGAGTAGCTGGGATCACAGGTGCCCGTCACCACCCCTGGCTAATTTTTGTATTTTTAGTAGAGATGGGGTTTCGCCATGTTGGCCAGGCTGGTCTCGAACCCTTGACCTCGTGATCCGCCTCCCTCGGCCTCCCAAGACGTTGCCTTTCTTAAGTGACATAGATCATATGGACAAACTGGGTTACCTGTGGCGAGTGATTAACAATAAACCAGAAAAGGTTGTACCCATCACACAAATGTCTGAGTCGGGGAGAATGTGACAAGGGAATACAATTGGATCAAATTATGAAAAAACAACTGGGATTCTGGGAAGAAGCCCTGGCCACAGGCTGACTCACCCCCAGGGCTTGACTTGAGTCCACATCCCCGGGCCCACTGGGGCTGGGTACACTGGGGACAACCGCTGGGCTTTGTCCTTCTGAACTGGCCCCTTGCCCAGCCTCTGCCTGTGTCCTGAACACTGGGAGGCTGAGGCCCCGGCATTTCTCTCGACCCTGGTGGCACTGGGGACTCCTGGCTTCATCAGCCCCATGAACCAGGTGAAGGCCAGGCCAGAGACAAGGGAGGGTGAGGCAGGGAAGAGGGACATAGAGGCCAAGACGCGGGAGGGCGTAGCTGCTGGAGCAGGCCAGGGGGCAGAGTCTGTTCTGACATAACGTTCAGACAAAGGCCATTCTGTCTCCTCTGAGTATCTCACAGGCACTCAAGTCTGACACGTTCCAAGCACGCTCCCTGGGAGTCCCGTCCACCCGTGGCTCCTGCTACAGTCCTCTGAGTGCCGCGAACAGCCCCTCAGGCTCCGGTGGCTCCGGCCCCAAACCTCGGACCTGCCCTTCCCTCACCCAGGGATGTCCCATCTGCTGCCTGGACATCCGGTTCACAGTTAAGCTCTCCTACCGCCGCCAAGGTCAGGCCAGGGCTGTGCCCATCTCTCCCCATCTCCCCGGGCCCTCTGCCCTCTCCTCCCTCTTCTTCAAGCCATCCTGAGCCCAGGCCAGCGAGCCTGGTAAACTGTCATCCCCCGCACTCCCTCAGCTTCGCGCCCTCCCGTGGCCACTCAGAGTGAAAGCCAGGGTCCTCCCTCACCTCCACCCCCTTGCCCCTCCACGCTCACCTCCTCATCTCCCCTCCCCTCTCACTCTGCCCCTCAGTAGCCCCCGACGGGCAGGAAGTTCTGCCTTCCCAGCACCTGCCACCGAGCCAGGCACACGGCAGGCGCTCAACGACTCCTCTCACCGGCAGCTGCTTTTCCAGGCAGATACTGAAGGTCTTGGTGTGGTTGGCTTTCAGCTTCTTCAGGGGCACGCGTGTCTCCCCGATGAACTCATTGTGCCGGAATTTGTCCTCGTCGCACACAGAGATCCTGGGTTGGGGGTGAGAGGCACAGCCAGCGGCTCAGACGCACGGGGCGTGGGGGGAGTGTGCGCGGGTAGGGCCGGCCCTGGCTTGTCCTGCCCCAGGCCCTGCCCTGGTCTGGGGTGGGAGACGCACGAGATGCCTGGGCCCTGACAGGGCCAGAGTGTGGCATGATGTCAGGTACTGTCCTCCCGGACAAGTGTCCTCAGGTTGGAAGAGGGGACAGGAGAAGGTGGGGCCAGTGCCGGGAGGTGGGGAGAGCTGGTTCTCTGAAGGGAACCGCCGCCAGCACCCGGAGAGGCCCCAGGAAGCACCTTCAGGGCACTGGGGCCAGGGTGACCCTTTCCATCCACCAGGCTCCACCGGTGTGAGCAGACCTTTCTGCCTTTCTTCAGACCCCCAGGCTGGGGTGGCCTGCATGAGGCTGAACCCACAGGAGACCCTCTGACCCTCGGGTCCTGCCTTCGTGAGGACAAGCGGGCGGGGGTCAGGGGGGGCCGGCGGTCAGGGCCCCGCCTACCGCAGCGTTTTGCGGATCATGTCCTCGTCTGTGATCCCGTAGTAAGTGAGCGTCTCGTTCCACGTGGGGTTCAGAGTGTTACGGAGAGTTTTTGTTCTGAGCTTATTTGCCTGGAGAAGAGAGAGAGGATCGTGTGAGCATCAAAGGGTGTGTCGGACAGAACAACGGCCCCCAGAGACGGCCACATGCTCGTCTTGGAGCCTGGGAATGTGTCATCCACACGGCCAAGCGGAACTGAGGCTGCAGGTGGAGTTACGGTTCGCAACAAGCTGACGTTAGAACAGGGAGATTATCCTAGATGGTCGGGCGGCCCAGTGTGGTCACAGGTTGTTCACAGCAGAAAGGGCAGAGGAGAGAGTCAGAGTGAGACGTCACCAAGGCAGGCGGCCAGAGGGATGCAACGGGGCCTGCTGTGAGGGTGGAGGAAGGGGCCACGAGCCCAGGAGGGCGGACGCGGCCTCCAGAAGCTGGAAAGAGCTAGGACACGGGTGGGCTCCCCAGGTTCCAGAAGGAACGCAGCCCAGGGAGACCACGCTTGGACTTCTCACCTGCAGAGCGGGCAGAGAATGAGGGAGCTGCTTTAAGCCACGAAGTCTGTAGTCATTTGTTGCCGCAGCCATTCGAGGCTCATCCACAGAGGCCTCCACCTCCAGCCCGAGGCCATGGGGTGGGTCCGCAGGAGGCCTGTGTGTGTGGACCCGGAGTCTCCTCCCAGGGCATTCCCTGCCTTTTCCGACTGTCCCCTCTGCCTGGAACCCATCCTGTCCTCGGGCCGGCTCGGGGTGGCCTCTCCGAGCTGGAATATTGCCGCCACTCCCTCCTCCTGTGCCAGCGACTCTGAGCCCCTCGTCTGAGTCGGTCTGACGCCTGCCGCGCCTGGCCCAGGCTGGGAGGTCAGACAGTCCGGGCTTCCAATTCCAGCTCTGCGGCAGCGTCAGGGTTCCCGCTGTGGAAAGGCCACGGGCATCCCTCTCTCCCGCTTGTTTATAAGGAGACCGCTCTTGATAAAACACTGGGGAAAATCCTGGGGACTTCCTACAACTCGGCAGCCAGGCACTGCCGGCTCCAGTCCCACAAATGAGGGGTCACTGAGCTCCCACGTGGGGCACACTTCCCTGGTCACACTCGCCCTCGGCCCTCACATCCCCGAGCCCCTCTGGCAGCATAAGGACGTCGAGGCCCAGCGTGGGGAGCCCATTTCTTCCCCAGGAGGAGGTGGTGGGGCGCTGCTGTTTCTCCCACAGCCCTGCCTTCCCGAGGGACGGGGGAACGGCCCCTTCTGGGGTGGGCCTCCTGGATGGCTGCGGGCCCAGGCCTACCCGTTTAGGCCCCCAAGTCAACTCAGACTCTGCCCCATGAAACTAAACATAAAACAGCACTGAAGTGCACGGTGCACAGAAGGAAGTCTAATTAAGTCTGATTTTCCACAGCTCGAGGTCACCTGGATGCTTTTGGTTAACATCAATTTCTCTCTCCTCTCCTAGATGCACCTGTTGTGCTGGGGCCCTTTCCACAAGTGTGGTCGGACTCTTGGCGTAGGAATGAGGATCCTGTGGTCAAATATACTGGGCAGATTCCGCCCACTTCATCCCCCTTACGGAGAGTTGAGGAACAGCCCATCAGCACGTTAAATGCTCTGATAGGTCCGTAATAGTAACCTCCAACTGAGACTGCTTCTTATAAAATGCTGGCCTGGAAATTCTGGAATTCCCAGATCAGCAGGCAGGTAACGCTGAACGGCTGAGTGTGCAGCTGAACGGCTGAGGTCCCACCAGCTTGCTTGGGCTCTGAGGGGAGTGGCAGCGGTGGGCCTCCCTGGGTGCCCCCAGCCCCGTCCAGGCCCCAAAGCCAAAGGACCAGTGTGCACTGCCTGAGGTGGTGGGGGGGGGGTGCCGCTGGTGGGCAGGCCTGGGTGAAACCCCTCACCTTACTGGCTCCTGGCAGCAGGTGCAGCTTGACGTAGGGGTCTGCCAGCCCATTGTGGTCCATCGGCTTCAGGCCCTGGGCAGAGAACAGCAAAGGGTGTGAAGTGGAAATCGGGGAGATGGAACGGACAGGGCCTGCAGGTGCCTGGGCCAGCAGATACCCTTGTCCGCCGGGTCTACTCATGGCCCCTTTCACAGAAGCCCCCAGGCCCCACCCCTCCAGACGGAATGAGGATGGCTCGATGCCAGTGCAATCTCCCCTCCCCAAAACATCCCGGCCCAGGGCAGCTGTCACGGGGCCTCCGTCAGGACAGACTTTTTCTCTTTTCCTCATCCGGGAAGCCACATGGCTCACCCTCCTCTGAGCCTCCCTCCCCACCCCGCTTTGGTCAGGTCCTTCCATCGTCCTGACTCCCCTCCCCCATCTTCCCAGCATGGCCTCCTGAGTGGTCACGCCCCTCATCGACTCTAAATCCACGTAACCCCGGGACACGGTCCGAGACTAGGCCCCATTTCTGGCCATATTTGCCACAACTCCCAATCAGTCCACAGAGATCACACAAGCGGACTGGCCACAGAGGGTCCCTCCACAAGATGGCTCCCCTCACTCACTCTGGTTCTTTCAGAAAACCTCGCCACGCATGCACAGCCAGAGGCACGGACAGACGGGGCTTTGCTGACCTCAGCAGGCACCTGTCTCCGAAAACTGCATTTGTTTTCTCCTGGGGTGGTGCTCAGGATGCCGGGAGGCAGCCAGCAACCCCAGGACAGGATTCAAAGGTGCAGGACCAGGCTCCTACCCAGCAGGGTCCGGGAGGCGGCGTGGCCACCCACACCAGGCCCATCTCCGAGGGGAGGCTGGGGCTCCCGCCCAGGCCCACCCCACCCTGCTTCGATGGAGCTCTGGGGGATGTGGCTTCCAACCACCTACTTCCCTGCCACTGGCAAAGGGCAGAGGTCTGGGGGCCTGGCTGGCTTGGGTTCCAGGCTCAGCTCCTGTGTTCACCAGCTGGGAAGTGGATGAGTTACTAAGCCTCAGCTTTGTCATGTGTAAAAGGGGGTGGCCGGGCACCGTGGCTCACGCCTGTAATCCCAGTGCTTAAGCCCAAGAGTTCAAGACCAGCCTGGGCAACACTGTAAGACCCTGTCTCTTCAAAAAACTAAAAAATTAGCTGGGCGGGTGGCAAGTGCCTGTGGTTCCAGCAACTAGGGAAGCTGAGGTGGGAGGATCGCTTGAACCTGGGATGCAGAGGCTGCAGAGAACTGTGATCGCACCACTGCACTCCAGCCTGGGTGACAGCGAGACCCTGTCTCAAATTTAAAAAAAAAAAAAAAGGGCAGGGGTATAATTAATAGTCCCACCTTCCTAGGGCTGGAGTAAGAGGGAGGAGACCGTGTGGACACAGGGTCTGGCAGGCAAGGCGTCTGCTCTCTTCTCTGCATGCCAGGCCCCTGGGAGATGCCGGAGAAGTGGCTGAGGTCCAGTGGGCGCCTCTGAGCTGTGCCCTGCACTGTGACGCTGCCTCTGGGACAGGGCCTGGCTCAGTGGCCCAACATGTGCTCAAGGTGGCAAGGCTGCTCTTCCAAACTCAACTCCCTCACCCTGGCCTTGCGCCTTTCCCACCAAGTGCCTGAAGTGCGGAGTTCAGGGAATCCGGCGGCCCAGCCTGACCAGGGGGTGCCTGACGGCTGTGTCTTATTCTTACAGTTCTTATACATTCGTGTGTTGTAGCTTCAAATGTTTCCATTTGGGCCATGTTTCTTGACACATTTCACTTACAAATCTTTGGGCCACCAGAAGTTCCAGCGTCTTTCCGGTGGCTCTGGGGGTCCCACCTCTGTACCCGGAGACACCCGTGGGAGCTAGGCCGGGTCAAGGGGCGCTGTCATGCTGGGACAGGAGTGACGCCTGCTCTGTCCTTCAGACCCCTGGGCGGTGACGAGGCCCCTGCTGCTGCCTCTCTACTCCTCCACCCGGCAGGTCCCTGAGCACCCTGGGCAGCCGCACATTTGGCCAAAAGCAAAAGGACCCGTAGGCACTGCCCGAGGCCGTGTCACGGTGCTGCCACCAGCTTCTGTGCCCAAACACAGGCACTTCCCCGGCCCTGACCTGGGTTCCACCCACGCCTCCACCCACGGAGCCTGACCTCGGTCCAGGGAAGGGAAGGGCAGGAGGCTGTTTGCAGGGGAGGGAGCTGTTAGTGGGGCTACGGGGCACACCCTCCCCAGCTTGGGAGCTCGCAAGAGACAGAAACTGGTCCCACGGTTTAGGGCCGGGCCCCACGGGAAGTGATCAGGTTTGGCCGTGTCCCCACCCAAATCTCATCCTGAGTTGTGCTCCCATCATTCCCACAGGTGGTGGGAGGGACACGGTTCTTGTGGGAACGAATCAGTCTCACGAGATCTGGTCTGGTAAGGGGAACCCCGTCTTGCTTGGCTCTCATTCTGTTCCCTGCCACCAAACATGTGAGAAGTGCCTTTCACCCGCCGCCATAACCGTGAGGCCTTCCCGGCCACGTGGAACAGCAAGTCCAATAAACCTCCTTCCTTTATGAATTACCCAGTCTCAGGCGTGTCTGTCTCGGCAGCGTGAAAATGGACTCACACCGGCGGGATGGGCAAAGGAGGCCCGGGGGAGGCCCTGGCTGGTCCTGGCACTGAGGGAACAGAGGGGGGTCTGGCTTTGAGAGGACAGCCTCTCCCCAAAACCCCAGCCCTGCCCCGCCCTGCGCCTCTCCGAGACCTGCTGGCGAAGTGTTCAGAGAGGAGCTTTCTAGCCGGAAGCACCATCCAGCCTGAAAAAGGAAATTCTCCGCGCACCGCGACAGGGATGGAGCCTGAGGGCTTTGGGCGGAGTGAAAGGCGGCAGCCTCAGAAGGAGAGACACTGGGGGGCTGCAGTTGTATGAGGTCTATGAGGTCCTTAGAAGAGTCAAATCCACAGAGAAGGAAGCCAAACGGTGGCCTCCCCAGGGGCCGGGGAGGAGAAGGGGAGCTGCTGTTCAGTGGGTACAGTTTCAGCTTTGCGAGCTGAAGGGGGCTCTGGGGACGGGTTTCACAGCAGCGCGAAGGTAGAAGGTGCTCAGCACAAGTGAGCTGTACGCTAACCATGGGTGAGCGCCGAGGGGAGGAGTGAAAAAAAAACGGTTGAGGTGGGAAATTTAGATCCGTGTAATTTACCACAATAATAATAAAAAACAAAACAAGAGTCTCCCAGAACCGGCAGTGCCGGGGCCGCCTGTTACCTCAACAACGCTCACAACGGCCAGGTAGGGCAGGCACAAGCAACCCTCCTTACAGATGGGCAAACTGAGACCGACCCTTACAAGGGGTGACAAGCAAGGTGCACCTGGAGGGTCCAGCCCCCACCCCGGCCCTCCGGAGGCCTCACTTCCGCTCGCCCACCCTGGGCCCTCCCCACACCCCCGCCCAGAACCCCAGCCTGTGCCACCCCTTCCCTACAGAACTGGATTTACACAGAGAAGGAACTGGGCCTCCCACCCCCACTTCTGACATCTGAGGCATACAGCCCAAAGTGCACAGACACATGTGTGCACGCACAGTACCCACACACACACACGCACACACATGCACACAGACACATGCACACACACACATGCACACACACACACACACATGCACACACATGCACACACACACGCACACACACACACACACACACACAGTACTCACACATGCACACAGACACACACACACACATGCACACAGACACACATGCACACACACATGCACATGCACACACACGCACACACACGCACACGCACACACACGGACACAGAGACACACACGCACACACATATGCGTGCACACACATGCACACGCACACATGCACACACACATGCACGCACACATGCACGCACACATGGACACACACAGAGACACACACATGCACACACACACACGCACCTGGAACAAGGAAGGAAAGGCCCTGGCGTCTGGCAGAGAGAGAGAGGAAGGCGTGGGCTTTGGCCAGAGCGGCCTGGCAGCCAGCACCTCTCCAGTCCCCAGGCCGGGGCCACCTCTGCAAAGCTGGACAGAGGGAAAGTAGGGAGGGTCTAGCTTGGTCTCTACCTTGGCACAGCTGGGGTTTGATAAATGCTCAGTTCTGCTCCTAGGGGCGGCTGGAACCCCTGCCAGGCAAGGCTGGGCATGCCCTGAGCCACAGCACAGGTGGTTCCAGAGGGAGGGCAGGGGTGGGATGGAGCGTGCAGGCCTCTTAGTGCCCAACCAGGGCCCTGGGCCTGGCGTGGATGGCACTCACACCTACCCATGGCAGTCCACGTGTCGTGGCCCAGGCTGTGCCTGGGGTGGCACGCAGTAGCCTGTCCTACTGGGTGGGCACGGCGCCAAGGGCAGCCCTCACGGCCAGGTTGGGAGGAGGGGCAGGGAGCCTGCAGGTTGGGAGTCTGGGTGGGGCTCTGCGGGAGCCGCTGGATCTGAGCTGGGCTGGCTCAGGCCCTTCCATGGCACTACTAGGGGGACTCCACTGGCCACGCAGGCCCTTACCTTGCGAGAGAACATCAATTTTGGCACCTTCCTCCCACAGGGAGCAACGGGGTGAGGGGGCAAGGGAACAGGACAGTTGAGAACATGGAACTGGCACGTGCTGACTCGAGTGGCAGAGCCAGAGGGGAGCACCAGGGGCCGGGCCAGGCTGCAGAGGGGTCCATACACATCTACAACCCCAGCCCACGTAGTGAGGCTCAGAGGGCCTCTGGGCTCAGGCCCTGGACGCCCTGCCTCGAATGGTGTCAGCCTCCTCCAGTGGCTCGGCTTCCAGGGTGCACAGTGGCGTCCCCACTCCTCAGGGCGCCTGGGAGGCCTGGAGGCACCAGCACCCAAGCCACCCTCCCCTGGCCTGCAGGACAGACAGACATCACCCTGTCCCTCTCTCTCCCTCTCAGCAGCCCCTCCCCAGGCTCGGGAGGCCTCCGTCCAGGCCTTCATCTTCCCGTTCTCATCTGTTTCTCTGCTCCCCTCAATGCCTGACTGTCCAGGGCGTTTCTTGGAGTTCGGTATTCAAGAAGGTTTAAACAAGAATTCCTTCCTGGCCCCACACAGCTCAGACATCCGAAAGCCTGGACAGGAACCTGGGGGGTGGTGTGGTCTGGCCTCCCTGACCTAGGCCCTCTCTTGCAGACCCCGGGGGGCAGGCCGGCGGGGCCTACCTTGGCCTTGGTGATGGTGCAGTGGAGAGCGTTGTTCTCCTGGTCGTACAGCAGGCTGAAGTCCAGCGTGCCCAGGGCGGCTGTGGACAGAGGAGGACACAGCTCCCACCGTGGCCACGTCTTGGAGAAGCTTCACTTGCCCCTGTGAGGCCGGATGGGCCTGGCCTGGGCAGGTGCCACCGTTCTATGGCGGCTGCCACCGACGGAGCACCGGCTGTATGCCAGCCCCCCACCCATCCTCCCAGTCCCACCCGACCCCGGGAAGTTACAATATTCTCCCCCCTTTCCAGAGGAGGGGCTGAGACCCAGAGAGGTCGGGTGGGTCACGCCAGTCCCCTGTCTAGCCGTGTGTGGCCGCCTGAGCTGGGCGCCCAGTCAAAGGAGTTCCTGCCCTACTGGTGCAACTGCCAGTCTGGGCCCTGTGCCTCAGTTTCCCTCACCCGTGAGATGTCACAAGGATCACATGAGAGGGCAGAGGAGACGAGGCTTGGAGAGAGGCAGGCCCTGGCCAATACATAGGACTGAGGCTCCTCTGCCTCTCTGGCCCCTTGGGGACCCCGAGGAGGCTGTGAGGAGTCAGCTGGGTCCTCACACTGCTGCCCCCAAGTCTCTCAATGGCAGTGATAACTCCCTACAGCCGGGGGGAGGGTGCAACCGTAACTGGATGCAGCTGCCTCCCTCCCCGGGGCAATCACTCACAGCAGCTGTGGCTTTCCATGCAGCGGCGGCTGCCAGCATGCAGGCCGAGGTGATGGTGGGGGGCAGAGCTTGGGGGCGATCCCTGGACAGCAAGATGTGCATTCACAGAGGGCCTCAGAAGCCCAGAGCCTGCTCCCAGGCTGCAGGGCTGGTCAACTGGTGTCACATTCATTCATTATTTACCAAGTGTTCACAATATGCCAGACTCTAGGGGATGGACATCTGTGAGGCAGAGTCCCCAGCTCAAGGAAAGCACAGCTTAAGGGGAGGAACAAAAGGAAATAATTTGCTGCAGTAGACTCTGGTGAGCCAGGAGCCACGGGGAGCCCATGTGAATTGGGACAATCAGGGAAGGCTTCCTGGAGGAGGTGATGTTTCACCTAAGCCATGAGGGATGAGTAGGAGTTCGCCAACGGCACAGTGGGGCTGGGGGAGGTGATGATTCCAACCACAGGCCAACCAGCAGGTGCGGGCTTAACGACTGGTGTGATCCTGGGATAAGGGAAGGCCAAACTTGAAAGATTCTATTCTTCAGGCTCTGAGCTACGCTCCCAACATGGATCTAGATCCAATTATGGCCACACCTGACTGGGCCCATCATTTACATCTCGTCTGCGGCGCTTTCCTGCTTCAGAAGCAGACCATATGGCCTGCACAGCTGAAAATATTTACTGTCCGGCCCTTTATAGAACAAGTTTGCAGATCTCTGGGTGAGTGCTGGGCCCAGCCAGGCATAATACAGTTTCTTGGGTCTGCAGGGAAATTGGCTGATGAAAGGCCATTGGTGTGGAGTGTCCTTTATTCTGAGCTGGTGACGGGAGTGGCATTTGTCCAGATCACCCCCTTCTAACACGGATCAGCACGTGTCTCTCTTTGCAGCAGTGTGGGGTGCAAGACCTGCCCTCTGACATCGGTCTCCCGGGCTCAAATCCCAGCATGCACTTCCCTGCTGTGTGACCAGCTTATCTAATGTCTTTATGCCTCAGTTTACTCATCTGCAAAATGGAGACAACGGTGGTATCCACCTCACAGCACACAGTGTGCCTGGGGTGTTGGAGGGGATCCGTAGATCACTACAGAAGAAGCAGATCCCTACGGTGGGTTTTGTAGCTAACAGCACTGGCTTCTATGAGACCCGTTCTGGAATGAAACTGTCCTCGACTGGATCATTTCCCCCCTTGCCTTTGGGAACAGAACATACAAATGGTCACTTAAGCTTTTCTGAATAACCTGAGTCGCTGCTATGGCTACGATTACTCTTCCGAACGTCACAGTCATAGTCCAGATGCGGACGGGGACATGAAGCAACCAGAGGGTCCCGGGTGGTCCTCTTTTCAGTTTTATTTTTCTGCCTCTTTGACATGAGCCTGAAACTGCTATTCGATTACTTGTCTGTGGTAGTACAAACAGCTCTCTCACCTGTTCAGTAATTGTTTCTCCCAAGAAACCAGGTGATGATACTTGTTAGAACTATGTGCAAACTAAGCTAACAGATCTTGGTGGCTGGTGCGGTGCTCACGTCTGTCATCCCAGCAGTTTGGGAGGCTGAGGCGGGTGGATCACTTGAGGCTGGGAGTTTAAGACTGGCCTGGCCAACATGGCAACACCCACCTCTACAAAAAATACAAAAACAGCCAGGCATGGTGGCGCACGCCTGTGGTCCCAGCTACTCAGGAGGCGGAGGTGGGAGGACCCCTTGAGCCCAGGAGGTTGAGGCAACAGTGAGTGTGGCTGTGCCACTGCATCCGAGCTGGGTGACAGAGCAAGATCCTGTCTCAAAAAAATCAATAAACACTAGGTCTTGAGTGAAGCCTGGGGCACGTTCTCCTGAGAAGGGTACGTGTGCCTCCAGTAGCTGTAGCTGGCATGCTAGCTGCCAGCTACACGCCAAGCAGGTGAGGCTGCTGGAAGGTAGGTATATCCCACCGCTCCTGCAGCAATGCACACAGCCACAGCCCAAGACACACCAATCTGTGCTTTTGTAACAATATTCTCCAAAGCCGTTGGCTTTACGTGACAGTCATTCGATGCCGTTCAGGTCAGGCCTACCTGGGGTGTGTTGCCCCAATGATTCAGCCTCCCGAGCAACGGGACCATGCCTTGGCCACACCTCTGAGACCAACAAACAGATGCAGACACACGTGGCTGGGCCATTCAAGCCCACCTGCCCTCCAGGTGCTCCCAGGAGCTCGGAGCCGGTGTGACCCTCACGTGTGAAAATGCACAGCCTGATTTCTGCCTGTTTCCCAACCCCAGAGGAGGAGTGGCTGTCTGCTCCCCCTGGGACACCCAGCTCCTGGAGGGGAGGAGCCCCTGCACTGGCTCTGCAGAAACCCCTGTCCACGGAGGGCAGCGACCTGCTCCCTCTGCTCGGGGGAAACTGACACCTGCCACCACCTCCTGGGAAGGGACAGCGCGCCCAGTGTGTCACCGGGAAGGCACTGACGAATTTCTCTGAACTCCACTGGAAGGTAAGAAATGATAGTTTATAAATAGAAGCTCGGTCACAATTTTGAGAGGCTGGTGAAGCTCTCTTAGGGAGCACATGGCCCAACTTCATTTCCCTTCAGAGAAATGAGGCTCAGAGAGGGCAGGTGAGCTGCTCAGCGCGGCCCAGCAGACCAGGCCACAGAATCTAGGCCTCTTCACTTCCATCCTGATAGTTTCTCCCTGGAAGCCTAGTGGCTCCCAAGAAGTTGTTGTTTTTTGTGTGTTTGTTTGTTTGTTTCTGAGACAGGCTCTTGTTCTGTTGCCCAGGCTGGAGTGCAGCGGTGCAATCACAGTTCAGCCTCCCAGGCTCAAACGATCCTCTCACCTCAGCCTCCCGAGTAGCGGGGACTGCAGGTGCCCACCACCATGCCCAGCTAGTTTAAAAAATATTTACATAGACACAGTGGTGTGTGTGGGGGGGACAGTGTGTGTGGGGAGAGAGGGGGACAGTGGTGTGTGTGGGGGGGGACAGTGGTGTGTGTTGGGGGGGGTCTCACAACGTTGCTCAGGCTGGTCTTGGACTCCTGGGCTCAAGCAATCCTCCCGCCTCCACCTGCCAAAGTGCTGCGATTACAGGCACGGGCCACTCTGCCCTGGTCCAAAAGTGGTTTTTTGTTGTTGTTGCTGTTTATTTTTTGCCACTTCGTTTAGCTGAAATCTTAGGAGGATGCAACTAAGAAACAAAAAGAGAGAAAAGCAGAGTTGCTCTTGGGGAAGGAGGGTGAGGGCTCAGCCGCTTCGGGCCCTGGAGAGCCCTCTGAGTTGGAAACGCACCTCGGGCTTGTGCTGGGAGTGACGAGGGCCCTGAGGGCAGGAGAAGGTGCTTCTCTGTGAGCCACAGAGCCCTGCCCTTGGAGCGCGCAAATCACATGACCTCACTGAAGTTTACACCTTCGGAAAAATAATGAGGGCTGGTCACTGATGGGCCTTGGAGAGTTGTCACCCGTTTGTCGATAATGATAGAGCTTTAACGGGGCTAATTCAGAGAAAATCAAGCTCAAGCCCCTGTTGGCTCCTCTGAGGCCGGATGCCTCCCGCTCGGCTGATGGAGACCGACAGCATCACCATAACCTTGGTTTGTGCCTGGACTTTCCCGACACCCTTGGGAATAGGAAATCTACCCTGATTTTTTTTTTTGGAAGAAAAATATCAGGCTCTCAAATAGTTAAAAAAAAAAAAAAAAAATCTGTGGCAAGGACCATAGAAAACCATCAAGCTTGTGTTGAAAGCATTTTATAGTTGGGGAAACCGAGCCACTGAGCCAGGCCAGCACTGCAGGGAGGATAGAGAGAAATGAGCCGTCATCCCTGCTTCCCTCTAACCCTTAGAGATGAGTGTTAAGATTTTTATAAACATCTTCATCATCTGCTTTACATTGTTGGAAGGTTCTCCATCAACTCCTGGACTCAGTTCAACCTCCTTGGTGTGGCCTTTAAGACCTTCCGTGATATGACCGCTTTGGCCTCCTCATAGGTCCCTTCCACTTCTTTGAGCCACTTGGTTCTATTGTTTTGCCTACACTGGGCTGAGATTCTGACACTTCAGGACCTGTGTACACAGCTGTCCCTCTGCCAGGAGCACCCTCCTTTCCTCTTTCCCCTCTGCCAGCGCACCTCCTCCCTCCCCTCCGTCTTAGGGTTGAGCCCTCTCTGTGAGTGACCTCCGCGAGCCAGAGCTTCCCATTTGGGTTCCTCTTCCCTGACCCTTGCTGCGGGTCACCTGTTTGTCTTGGTTTTGATGAATACCCTCCGGTCAGAGATTGCCTCTCAGCATTCTTGTATGTTACACGTGCATGACACAGAGCCTGACACATAGGTGGTGCTGTAACATTGAGTGCATTAAAAATATCACGGGTCCAGGTAGAACACGACTGGGGCCAAAGAGGTTCTGGGCTCAAAGGAAGGGGCACCACAGCCAGTGGGGGCTGGAATATGCCCCCTGACAAGCAGAACCTTTGCGGTGGACTCAACACTTTGTCCTTGCTCCAGACCTGCATGGGCATCAGTCCTGACCCGGTCCCGGGTGAACCACACGGGGCAGGTTTAACTTGGGCATATGAGGCAATGCTGGCCAACAAGATAAAAGGACAGGTCTCCTGGGGACTTCTCGGAGAGGTTTCCTTGCTCCTAAACTGAGACACGAGAAAAGGAATCAGTTCTTACCCAATCAAGGACCTTATTGTTACGTGTGATGCCTGGACCTGCAGCAGCCACCTTGGACCCGAGGGTCCTGCTTTGCTGATGGAGACTGACAGTGTCATTCTGACCTTGGTTTGCACCTGAACCTTCCTCACCCAGACACCCTTTGGAATAGGAAATGGGCCTTGATTTTTGGTCTACAAGGAAAAGCGCACAGCCACGTGCAAAGACGGACAGAACCATCACCCCTGACGGTGCTGAGGTGCTGACACATTGGTGCACCCTGGTGTGGCAAGACCTCAGCTGTCCTCATTGTTTAAGCCGCTCTGAGTTGGTTTTCTGTGACTTGCAACCCACAGCACTCTAGTGATTACAGCTTTGAAGAATGAAC